AAATAACGTAAGAAAGAAGAATCTTAATTAGTAGGATTCAACATTCTTTGATATTTTTCCAACCCTATCATAGGAGGGCAGGCTCAAATTTCGCCATGCCTCAACATTCTCAAAAGCCATTAAACCGCTTTCATGCTTATCATCTTTAAAAACATCTTCAAGCTCAACTTGTCTGCAAATGGAAGCTTGCTTCTAACATTATTATACTTATCATTGAGCATAACAATTTAATTGAATATATCATTCCTACTTTTGATAATCTTTTAAGTTTGTAATCTCAAAAGCACCTCAAATTTTTTAGGCTTACATTTTTTTAACAAAATTAAAAATAATATCAATATACCTCACCTATCAACCCCACACCTCACACACTAAATAGCAAGAAAAAAAAGGAAAATTTCTTATAAAAATTTATGTAGTTGAAATTCAATAAAAAAAAACTATCAACATATTTATTATTTTAATTAATATTTTTATTGATGATTATTTATAAAAAGAAGATAATTAAGATTAGATATAAGAATAAATGGAAGAATACAGATATGGTTGAGAATAATGTGCACGATAAAGATTTCATTATGTTGATGATTCTAATGCAAATTCAGTATATTATGAGAGCAATATAGACATTTAAGTTTAAAAAGTCAATGTTGATAATTTGTTATATTTTTATTTAAGTGGGTAGTAGTATGAATGGGAGAGAAAGACTTATATTGAAATTATTTTGATTGTTATTGTTGAAATTCAGAATAATGTGGAGTAATTTTATTGATATAAAAGGAAATATAAATAATTCTTACATCAATCCTAGAATAAAAAAAACAATAAACAAATAATAGAAAAAGAAAGATATAACATCTAATATCCCCAATTAATTAATTCATTTTAATTATTTTGAGATAAGGAAACAACATAAAATAGGAAAGTCTAAATAGGAAAGGAAATAAATCTGATCCAATAAAATAACTCTAAATGATATCGAGAAATAAATATAATACTCATAACTTCTAACATGACAATTATTTCCTAATATAGCATCTAGCACTCCCCCGCAAGTTGAAACATGGTTGAAAACTATGTTTAAATTAGATTTAAAATCATCAAACAATGGGTGAGGAAGATCCTGTGAAGTAGAACTTGAAGGCTTTATCACATACTGCAGTTGTCTTTGATTGCACTTCATGTAGTGTCTGTAGGAAGACGGAAGACTCTTGCAAATAATGTTGCAGGAGAGTTTGCAAGAAAGTAGATAACCTGGAAGAAAAACTGACTGCTAGTTGACTGTGAATGTATTTGACTGCAGTTCCTATAGAGATTGTAGGTAAACAGAAGGCTCCTATAGTTATGTTGCAGTGGATTTTACAGGGAAGTAGACAACCTATAGAAAAAACTGACTTCTAGTTGGTTACGGTGATATTTGATTTCAATTCCTGCAATGTTTGTAGATAGATGGAAGACTCCTACAGGTAATGTTGCAGGGGGAGTTTGGAGGAAAGTAGACAAACTCCAGAAAAAACTGCAGGGTGACCTGTAGAAAAAAAAAAGGGAAAGAAAGGAAAAAGCTCAAGAGATAGCCGTGTTGTGAGAAAAAAGCTTTGGAGGAGGACCTAGTGCATGAAAAAGCTTCGAAGGATGGCCAATTGCAGGGAAAAGCTCTGGAGGAGGGCCGACTGCAGAAAAAAAGTATTGGAGGAGGGCCGGCCGCAGGTAAAAAGTTCCGGAGGAGGGCAAGCTGCAGGAGAAAAGTTCCGGAGGAGAACCTGTTACAGAGAAAAGCTCTGGAGGTCTTGTCGCAAGGAAAGGCTCCGGAGAAGGGTCCGTTGTAAGGAAAAGCTCCGGAGGGTCTGTTGTAGCTCTAAAGGTTCTGCTGTGGGAAAAAGCTTCGGAGAATGATCTACTATGGGAAAAAACTCTAGAGGAGGGCTTGCTGCAAGAATGAATGTCGTAATCAACTGAGCAAGGCACATTCATGTTTGGTTCTAGTTTTAGATCAGAACCCATAAATTTGTAGCTTTTCTCTATCACATCCAAGTTCATAAATTGTGCGTTAGTTGCAAGTTCTTTAACATCCTGTAGAATAGCAGCAGCTTTTCCACAATTATTATTAAGAAATGCTTTATACATGGTGGGAGGTTTTCTTGCTTCAAAATGTAAGCAGATAGGATTTGGGTTGACGAAAAACACATAAGAATGAGGCCCAAAAGCTATACAATTAGTAACTTAACACAATTTTATTCTGTTCAACTTAAAGGTTGTGCTCCATTTTGTTTTTTTGGGGCTTCTTCTCATTATTCTTTGGCACCTACAGTAGATATCAAAGGAATTTGGACCCCAAAAGGGATTAGGTTTAGCAAATTCAATAATACAGGAAGCCCAAAACCCAAACTCAATTTGAGGGAAGAGAGAAGGGTGGCATTCCAGCAACCTCGAAGCTCGTGCATTCAATATGGTGAGAAAGCAAGATTATGGCAAAACAATACCAATCAAAATAGAAATGGTACCCTATATATAATTTTATGAGAATTCAGTAAAGAACAAAAAAAGATCCATGATAATGACATTCATGCATCTCAAAAGAGTGAAAAGTAGCCCTTACCCCCAAACAGCCCTTCACAAAGGTAATGCTAATTCTTCTCCAGCCTAGTATTTTTGAAAAAGGCAAGGTCTTCACCTATTCCCCACCACAATCAATTCTAGAAGAGAAATGAAGACGTCTCAAATCAAAAGATATTTACTCTGAAGCTTCACTCATCCCTTTCATTTAGAATCTCAAATCTCAATCTCTTCACTAAGAAGATAAATGTGATTTCAACTTGGCCTTACTATGTAAGTGGCTATAGAAAGTTGTGGCTCAAGAGGAGGGACTATGGGTGCAAACAAGTTGAGTCGACCTCAAGCAACTGTCGGCTTAAGCTTGAGTTTGAGTTTGATTAATTAATCGAGTTTGAGCTCGAGCTCGTGCTTAAGCCTATGAGTTCGAACTAGCTCACAAACCTGCATGTTTATCACGAAATAAAGAAAATAATAAAAATTTAAACTAGTGTTATAATAAAATGATAAATCATATGAGCAATTAGAAGATAAGTAATACAAAATTATTTGATAAAAAATATAAAATATCATTTTTTTAACCATTTTTTAGTTTAAAATTAAAATCTTGAATTTAATATATTTTGAATATATTTTCGCTAATGTTTTTTTTTTTTAAATGAGCGACTCACAAGCTTACGAGTTGAGTTGGGGCTAGCATGAACTTGGCTAATTAGCTCATTGAACTCAGCCCACGATCCACTTATCGACCCGAGCCCAGGTTGGCTTGCTAGTTGGCTTGGCTCAGTTACACCCTATGTGGGACTATGGACGCATGTTATCTAACAAGTATTAAAAGAAAGAGAGAGAATGTGAAACATTATTTCCCAAACCAGCTCCAACATTTCTTTTTTTGTGGAAAGACATCTAGCAATAAAATGCGAGACCGGGGTGGGTAATTAATCGAAGCAAGCAGACAAGGTGTATGGCTTGGTTGGATAATCTCAGTCTTCGAATGTTTTCAAGAAAAGGAGGTTGAAATCTTCCCTAATAGTGAACTTCTTCATTGGTTCGTGTTCAAAAGAGAATCATTTGGTATGGGATGCACTGCAAGGGCTTGTCCTAATTTCGAAGAGGTTCAACCATGCTGGAGAAGGCACTTAATGATTCATTTCCTAGTTCACACAAATCCAAAGAAGTTATCATAGATGAGCCACATGCAAGAAAACTTGCACATTTGCTTCTAATCAGGCTTTCTTTCAATATCTAATAACCATGCCTTTGCTTGTTGCTTGAGCACGTCTTCTCTAGTGCTTGAAGAGAGAAAGAAAAAGACAATTGAATTACTAGAAAAAAAATAAGAATTTTATTTTTTCAATGATACAAAGAGAAAAATATATCTTTTCTGACTTTTTTAGTATGAAAAAGGAAAAGAGTTAGCTGGGAATGCTCCTTTTTAGCTCTAGATTTAAATCATGAATGACTTCTTTTGATTGGAACAAAGGGCTCCCCTACTCGCCTATTTTCTATTTTTCTACTTGAATTTTATAACATCAAAGGATCGCCTGGTTTGCAGTGGCAGCAAAGGGTAGCAATTTCAGACAAGTAAATCAATCATGTCTTAATAAGGAACTTGAAAAAACTTGAAAGAATCCCAAGGGATAGAATCCTTGGCAATAAAGCCCAAGCTTCCAAGATCATCAGACGATGCAGCATTAGTGGTATCATCGGACTTTGTCTAATGATGCCTAGGGCTTTTGATTGAGATGCAATCACAAGACTAGGTTTCGTTGATCTGAATTTTTCCAGTTGTGCCTAAAATGGTAGGTGTTAAGCTCATTATCATTATGCATCAAAGTATTTATTCACAGGTCTCCAATCTTAATCACCCCAATAGAGTTAAATGACAAAGTTAAGAATGACCGACATGATTCCTCTGCCCTAGGTCACCATAAAATTAACCATGGACACAAGAAAAAAAAAAAAACATGAAGGAGATGTCATCTAGCTATGTTAAGAAATTTTTTATTCAAAGGAACATTTAAATGTCTTTTCTTCCAACCCTTGAATAAAAAAGGAGGGCAAAATTTTTAGGTATATCATGTTAACCAATAATTGAAGAATGAAACAAGTTGATGTCTACCTTATCAAATTGCAATAACACCTAGGGAAAAGAGGGCTTTTATGTGTGTCGCATGCACCATTGGCTTTATTTAAACGTGAATACCTACACAATAATGGTGATTTAATTTGAAAAAAAAAAAGCCAATTCTATTGAACAATTGATCTGCCACTTCATCTCAAAAACTATGGTAAATCAACAAGCCCAGCTCAACAGCATTATTCTTAAACTAGCATATACATATATGTACAGTGAGAAAGAGAGAGGGAGAGAAAGAGATAACACAAAAATGAATCTACCATGCAAAATTATATCAAAGCATGAAAATGGCACTAAGGCAAAAGAAGACCTGATGACAATTCAGAGAGTAATTGATGTTTCTGAGTGTCTTGAGTGATGAGGAAGCTCGTGAGCTCAGGTTGAACAGGAACATGGGTGAGACTGGCTGTGAATAGCAAAAGTAATACGATCATGGCATTGTTGATCATAAAAATAAGGGGCATTTACATATATTGCACACAATTCTTATTTATTTAAATATCTGACATAGATGTCTGGGACACGGAGTTTGGGGCACACCTAGACTGGTTTGATTCAGGATTTTGAGGGACCGCGCATCTTCAAAGCATGGAGTTGCCGTCCAATGGGAATGGGGCCCAGTCCTAGTTATTCTATGATAATTTATTTATTCTCGTTGATGTCTAGGTTTAGTTTTTTGCTGTGATTTGCTTTATGATAGACATTGGCATCTCCTTTTCCCTTCTAGGGTTATATCCACGGGTATTAAGTAGTGCTCCGGCTATATCTCATTTCCGATGTGGTTTTTATCCCCTTCAACCCATCACCCGCATCGTTCCCACCTTCCCCTCAGTCATTGCCTTGCTGCTGCCACCCCAAATTGCCAGTCCCCTGTTGTTCCGAACGCATTCTTACTGTTAGGAAAGCCATTCCACATCAATTATTGTTGCTTGCTTGCTGCCAGGAGCTTGGGCAACCGCTGCCTTGCATTCTTGCTGCCACCTCCCAGGACCACCCTCCCATCATTTCCCCTTGTTGTGCCACCTTCCAACTTGCCATCCGACCCACCTTGCCTCCGCCCCAAAGGTCCAAAGCCGTAGCTGACAACATCTCCACCCTAGATCCACCCTAGTAAAAGTGTTGTGTGTTGTTTCATTGTAATTTCATATTTCCGCATCGTTTGGTTGTAATTTCCAATATGAATTCATTAATAATATTTACTTTCCGTTGGATTTTTGTTAAATTCTAGTATCAACATCTCACACCTAAACTTTCATATTTACACACATAGCACTCAAATCTTCAACATCATATCAAAAATAGCACTATTGTCAGTTTTTAAAAATAAAATACACATTTTCATGCATAGGTTTTAAAACACCAAAGTGCTATGTTATGTAAATATAAAATTTTAGGTGTGACATTGATAAATACATAAGAATTGTGTGCCACGTATGTAAATTTTCCAAAAAAAAAGGGAGGAGGCAATAAAATGAGGATTTACAAGTTCACCTTTGTCTTGTTCAACAATAAGCTCCAAGGTAGCAGAGAGGGGCTTATGTAGATAGCCTCTAGTCACGTCAGCACTGATGAGATACTACTATCCAGAAAAACTGGGCATTGATCAATGAATGCTAAAACCATAGTTTAGGAAAAGCTGAAAGCAATGATTAGGACAGTGGAATTCAAAAAAGATAAATGCAAAACACAGAAATATTACCTGGATACTGATATTTCCACCATGGTATGTCTCATAAAACATGTCATGACCACTTTTCTCTTCCGAGCACAAAGAAAATGAAAAATTTATCTGAACAATTTTGTAACAGAAGTGCAAAATAAATTCCAAAAGAGGACAATCTAAATAAAGCAAAAATATATTAGAACATGATATTAATTTCAAAGAGATTGAAGCCTAAGTCTTTTTTGAATGAAACTAGACGAAGAAATTATTCCAATGAAGCTTAGGAGGTTAAATTGCAACACAGGAACTTCTTTCATCAGATCCATCTAACATGATTTGCATGATTTTATCTTATTCAAGATTCAGTCATTTCAATCTTCCTCTGTTCCGAAAAATTAACAAAATTAAACAAGTGAAATGAAAAGGCTAGATTTCTCGCCAAAACTAACAACAGGAAATCCTGGATTTATTTTCAAACCAAGCAGAAACTATACAAATCAAAACTATGAATAATACGATTTTCTTAAAGCAACAAGTTTCATTCTTCATGGACAAAAAAAAGAATCACAAATACTATAAAAGCCTTCTTTAAAAGTACTTTTAGGGTAATTGTTTTTCACATAACTTCGTGCTTGAGCGATAGTGCAGATAAGCAGTTCATAAAGCTCGGTGATTCAATGTTGGTGCATTTAGTACCAGCATTTTCATTCTGATTTACTATCTTTCCATTTAATTTAACCAGAAAAATTGCAGCAATAAAAATAAAGTAATATTAGAAGGTCACGTGATCACTTCAAAATCACTCAGGTATAGAGGACAAAAATTAACAGATAAAGGTTATGATTTCATTATAACAGTTAATCGAACATTCATAAACATGCAGTTTTTATACACTAAAACTAGATACAAAATACAATAAAATTCGATGTAACATTCCCATTCATCACCAATGACTTTATGTAACATACTTATAGCACCATAAAATTCAACGAAATACCTCTGTTCTACCAGGACCTAATTTTCCAGCTGATGTTGCAAGCTCTATACTCTTCTTCCTGCACAGCAGATAGGAGACAATGATTTCAATGCCCTAAAATTCCATCAAAAATATATATTTCACTGAAAAAAAAAATGATGTAAAAAGAGCCATATTGACCACTTGTATAACTGTATGCTATTTAATGCCATAAAAATATAATTTCCATGACATTAAACAAATTTCCAACACAGCAAAAGAACTTACACTCTTAAAACAAAATCAAACAGCATCATGTGCAGTGCATTGATCATCTTCACAAGATTTTAAAATGTACGAAAAATCTCTGGTAAAGCTAATCAATTATGGTCAATTCAATAGCCCTAATTTGCAAGAACCTATCTTAAAATAATTAGCAGGTCTGGGTATTTTGAATTATTCTGTTGGGAAAAATAAAAAACAGCTCAGTTAGGCAGATACCTTCCTAGAGATCATATGATGACTATGATGTAATTATTCTGATTCTTTAGTTACCAATGCAAACTCTAAAATAAGGAACATACGGTTCATACAAAAATCAATTGGCTGCCTGCCAATATACAGATTCTGACACTTACATTGAAAATTAAGCATTCTTTGATTCTGAGTTGCAGCATTTTGCAACTTCCAACTCCAAACCATAGTTTGCTTATCACAGCAACAAATGGCCTTCTATGTCATTATAGTTTTCAAAATCGTCTACAGACTAAATTGGTTGGTGTGCTTATCACACCAACGTTTCATAAAGGGCTTTTAAACCCCGTATAAAGTAAAAATTGAACATAGCATGAACTAATCAATTTTAACTCAAATTCAGGATTTATCAAATCCTTAAACTATCGGGATTTTAAAGGTTTACTTCAGTTGGATTTAATAAATACCTTAAATTTCCCAAATCTTCCAAACAGATGATCGGATTTGAGAATTGAGGAGCCAAACAGCTTTGTCAATATAATTTATGAAATCAAATTAAGCCTGCTTGAATAAGGCTTATCAAAACCAAATTTACTAGATCTTAACTTCAACGAAACAGGCCTTTATAAGTGGGGACGGGTTATCAACTTCAATAGAATAGATGCAAAAGCAAGGATACCAAATCAAAAACGACAGAAATGTGGAGCTCACATGATGCATATGGGCTTCACCACGCTGTACAAGGATTCGATGACTCCAGTCACTCCTCCTCGAACCTTCCCATCAAAAGAACAAGAAGATCAGCATCAAACTAGAAATATACAGCAATGGGGAGGAATGGCTTGCCATGGAATCAACAAACATCGATATACCTGTAAGTTGACAGTTCCGGATATGGAAATGATAATTTTCTGATAAGAAACTGATGACGTGAGGGTTGTTATAATCTTCCCTTCGACTGATTCCTAGGAAAGATTAACAAAACGGTGAATTTCGGGGAAGTGACAGTAAACGGATTCGAGGGGGGAAGGCGGGAAGGGCTTACACCAAGGCAGTAGACGCGGTTCGATCGCGAAAGCTTGAGATCAATCGGCATGGTTCGTGCATGTGAGATCCGCGAGATGCCTGGCTTCAATAATGAAGTAAACTGTGCGGCATACTACTTCATTAGAGAGAATATTAATTGCAGATTAGTGAAACCCTTCAATTTTCTCTGATTTCATATGAATGTAATACTTTTTCCTTCATAAGAGCGCCCCTGCAATTGCAAGTGTCCGGACCTAAATATTGAAGAAATAATACATTTGTATTTGCGAATATTTGCATTAGGAGTTCAATGGTGAGCCGTTACGTGTCAAGCGGATCCCACCATAATACACTGGTATTAGCCAGTGTAAAGAATGGTGGGGCCCGCTTGACACGTGGCACTCTGTCATTAGACTCTGAACGTATCCAGAGTCCTGATGTAATATTTTTTTCCCTCAAAATTAGGACTAGAGTTAATTGTTTATCGTGCCTTACAACAAAAAAGAATTTTAATTTTTATATGGTTTGAGGTTAAACAAATATTAGCTGGAAAATAAAATTGATTTCAAAATGTTAAAGAAGAAGAAGATAAATATATTATGAATGCCTTGTTGGCCTCACTTTTAGTAAACTCTTTATTAACTTCAATTCTCTAAGTCAAACTTATAATAAATCACATAAAATGGAAATCAAGCCTAATTAACTTCAATCAAATCCTAATAGTTGGACCAAAATGCCATTTGATTAGGGAACTCATTTTTATGCCTTAAAATTATCGTCTTCTTTATAGATCATTGTAGTGCTTTAAAATTTCATGCTACATTTGGCTCATTATTATTGTATGAATAACATCAATCAATTTTTTATAGCTATCAGACAATATTTTATCTGAAATTTTGTGTGATGAGCTTTCAAGCATGAGAAATTATCCTGAATAAGTTTTTTTCATTAGAGCTTCATTTTATGAAACGGACTTCTCAAATGTGTCTGGATCGTCGAAAATTCCCAAATGAGCCTTTTGAGGTCCATTAAGACTACAATAATTTAGATGATCATTAAGATAATTTGGACAATAATTATGATTTTGCCATTGAAATGAGCTCAAATCAACTCCAAACTTACAATAAAATCAAATTGAACTAAAAATATGAGTTTACTAATTTGAATCTCATATAAAATTATAGAAAATCTCTATTTTTTTCTCCTATGGTGAGACCTACATTTTGACATCAATATCTTAATATGGGACCCAATTTGTCTAAAACCAATCCCATCATTATGCTCCCCTAATCTTGTTGATCAAAATAAGTTAAAGAAACTCTCCAATTCAAGCCCTAAGCTCTCCTCCTAAGTAGGCTCAAGAGAGGTGGCGACAACTTTGTATCGGGCAGCACCTTGGCACCACTGAGAGTGGTGCCTTGATGCCCCATCCTGCAAAGTGCCACCTAGGCCCCACCACAACGCATAGGCACCACTCAAAGTGGCGCATAGACGCGCCACTTCTTCCTATGTGCAATTGAACCATTGAATTGCGCACTGCACCTCCCAATATAGAGGATAGAGCATTCGCGCTACTGCGTGGCACACCAGCATTGTCGGCAATCCGAGGGACTCCCACTCAATTTTGAGTACGAACTATCGCTTTCATTCAGCCACCAACCTCTTCACTTTATATCAGGCCCCCTCTTCACACTCTCAAACACTCCTCTCATTACTCCATTCTTCTCTACTCTCCCTTACTATGGTGCTCCTCTGATTGGTCTGCCTCTACGTCCAGAGCACTTCCTCCCCACTGTAAGTTCTTTCACCCTTCTAGTTCCTCTTCTATCTTCTTCTTCTTCTCCTACTTCCTATCTTCTAATCATATCCTCTCCTTCTTGTCTTCTTACCCTTCTCTCCTCTTATTCTCCATTCTTCTTATCTCGACCCTTCATCCCTTCTTCTTCGCTTCATTTCTTCTTCAATTCACTCCTTCATTTCTCTTCATATCTCCATTCTCCTTCTTCACTTCTCCTTTATATATCTTCCACCTCATTATTTTTTCTCCCTTTTAAGTTCTTCTATCTAAAATGTTTGATGATCTCTTCATTCAAGTTCTTCTTATGTTAAGAGCATGTATTAGTGTAATAATATTCATGATTTTACATATGTTAAAACGCATATTAGTATAAAGAATTATACATTATTTTTCTTGTGTTAAAAAGCATGCTAGTATAAAGTTATATGTCATTCTACCTTGTTAAAAAGCATGTTTGTAAAAAGAGTTATACATGATTTTCCCTATGTTAAAAAGCATGTTATTATAAAGAGGTATACATGATTTTCCTCATAATTAAAAGCTTGTAAGTATAAGTTATCCATGTTTCATTTTCCTTGTGTTTAAAAGCATGTAAGTATGGGTTATCCATGTTCCCTTTTCTTTATGTTCAAAAGCATGTAAGTATGAGTTATATATAGTTTTCCTTGTGTTGTAAAGCATGTAACTATAATCATCCATGATTTTCCTTATGTTTTAAAGCATGTCATCCATGTAGATTAAAATCAAGTGTAGACCACTCTATGATAATGACCTAATGTATTTCATTATGTCCAAGCGCGTGAAAACAAATAATTAGTCAATCTAAAAAAAAAGGAAAGAGAGAGAACCACTCATGTGTAGGTTCTCTTTGTGTACATTCTAAAGAAAAAGTATCACTTGCAAGCCTATGTGTTTAAAACACTTTGAAAACTAAATTTAAAACCTTTAAAATGAAAATTAAAACCATTTAAATGATGATTTTAAAACCTATGAAGTGAAATTTTAAAATAATTTAAGACATAATGTTTAAATCTATGAAGTGAAAATTTAAATAATTTAAAAGATAAGTTTAAAACATTTGATGTGAAAATTAAAACAATTTAAAAGATGATTTTCAAGCCATTCAAAATAAAAATTAAAACCTTTAAAACAAAAGAAATGAACTTTTAAAACCTTTTAATAAAATAATAAAAATAAAACTATTTTAATGAAAAATTGATTTAAAACCTTTAAGAAATAAAATAACACTTTACACAATTTAATAAAATGAAAATACCTTTTTAAACCCTTTTTAAAAAGTTAAAATAGAATAACATTTAAAATAACTTGAAAAATGATTTAAAACCTTTACAAAATAAAATGTTTTTTAAAACCTTCTTTTAAAAAAATTGAAAATAACTTTTAAAATTTTTTAAAAAAAAACTTTTAAAATAATTTAATTAAGCTTAAATTAATTAAAAATTAAAAATCACATTTAAAATAAATTAATTAAATGTAAACATTAAACAAACTTAAAATAAAATATAATAAAGATAACTTTTAAAAATAAGATAAAAAGAAAATAACTTTAAAAATAAATAAGATTTTAAAACAAAATAAAATAATTTAAATAAACTTTTTAAAAATTAAAAATATAATCTAAAACCCTTTTAAATAATTTCAAATGATTTAAGAATAATTTAAAAATAATTCAAAATAATCATTAAAAAAATATTTAAAATCTTTTTTGAAAAATAGCTTTAAAATAGTTTAAAATAACTTCTTAAATAAACTTAAACAATTTAATAATAATTTTAAACTTCTTTTAATTTTTTTTTAAAAGAAATAATAATATTATTATTGTTAATTTAAAATCAATTTAAAACAATTTAAAGCCAATTTAAAAATAATTCTTTTTTTTTAAGAAATAGATTTAAAACCTTTCAAAGGTAGTTCAAAACCTTCTAGATAATAATTCAAGATACAAAATAAAATCTTCTAAGAATAATTTAAAACTTCAAAAATTTTAAGAAAATGGAACCCCTTAAAGGTAATTCAAAATCTTAAAACACTTTAAATTCAACTAAAAAATTGAAGTATTAAAACAGTTAAACCAAATAAAAATAACTCAAACACTTAAATCAGAAGAAAATACCAACACATTCTAACTCAAATAAAATAACTTAACATTTTAAACGTTAAAACTAAATAACTTCAAATATTAAGAAATTTAAATCAAATAAAATGCCAAATCACTTTAAAACGAATAAAGTAACTTAAAAGACTCAAATAGCTCGAACTAAATAAAATAATTTTAAAAACTCAAATACTTCAAAATTTAATAAGAAAACAGAAACATTTTAAAGCAATTAAAAATATTTAACCACTTGAAATTTAAAAATCTTCAAAAGGCACTCCAACCTTCAATCATATAAGCTTGCAAATGATCTATAAACTTCAATATAAAATTTCACACTAACATTGGGAACCTAACTTAAGAACAAAATGGAACGAAGAACACCAACCTAGATCAGAACGCTAAATGAATTGATTATCATATCGATCGACAACCATAAGAGTTGACATAAACCATAAATTAAATATTAAACCACAAACAAAAATTTAAAATGAACTAACTTAAATCACCGGAACAACCACCTAGGTAGATCAATTGCAAACCCTAGGATTAACTAACTTATAAACAAAATACAGGACCACACATATCCTAGAGTAATCAATTTTACAATCCTACTTTAGAATAATAGGTGTCATTAGTTACTCCCAAAGGCTAGGACATACAAATAAATAGTCCTTAACCCCTTAAATTGTGTAGGTGTCTTCGAATAAAGTAACCCATGGTTACTAACAAACGCACATCTAACCGTATTTAACTAAGAAATTCTTATATTGTCATTTTTATAATATTAAGTGAAGATCACTGGTTATACGAACAACTAGTTGATAGTCGAAGGATATCAATGTATTTAGGATGATGGAAAGCCGTTACATCTTGACTGGGGGGTGCGTTATGCCCAAAATTTAGGTTAGTTTACCTACTTGGTCTCCTTATAGAGTCCAAGTTTATCTCAAAGTTAGGATTTTCACCTCAATCTAAAAATCTTGCCTACCCAATTTCATCCCTCTTAGTTCAAGGAACTTTTTAATTCAAACTTTTCAAAGTAAATCTTAGAAACCAATCGTCCCAATTCAAACTTCCTAACTTAATATACCCAATCAAACTTTTCAAAATAAACTAACCCAAACCATTTCAATCTCTTTGATTTTATCTCAATTCATTTCATGATAAGGAAAAAATATATTTTATTTATATTGTCTTCATCTTGCAAATATCTAGTTAAGCTTAATTATTTGTTTACTTTGTTTTCAATTATCAAAAACTTTAAAAAAAAATCAAACTTTTATTCTTATTATTGAATCTTTAGTT